ATTACAGAACGTATGTTGTCATTGATGGGAGTAAGAGGTAGCGATAGCAGCAAATACTTACTCAGTACCTTTTGTATACCAGGATTTGCACCTGCTGCTACCAGGCAGTATCTGCATTGAGATATGCCTTCAGTTTATTGCATACACATGAGGAACACAACAAACACTGTCTCGGCAACACAAGTAACAAGGATTCACAAATGGCTAGTTTATTGAAAAAGTGTGAATACTTCCTGCTTCTTTCTTCTCTATCTTGTACCCAAAAACATAAACCCATGCCAGCCAAGGTGGATTTAGGTTGACAGAGGTTCTCACTTACTGCTGTATTTCCACACATACCTCATCACAGGCCTGCACTAGAATATGGACCACAAGGTACTTAAGGATGCAAAATATGATTCATGTTTTTAAGTAAACATTTTTACTGCTATTCTCAACTCACTCAAGCCCCCAGATGCTCAACATGCTTGGAGAGCCAGCCAAAGGGACAAACAAGAGCATGGGACGTTATCATGATACAGGTTGGGAGCCATAGACCACCTCTCAGGGTACAGAGGCAGTCTTGTCTTCCCTTTCCCATACTGCCGCTAGATGGCGCTGTCCTGGCAGAGACCTTCACAGTCAGGGTCACCACTGAACACGAGCATACTCTACATAGCACACCCTGATGGACAGAGTAGGCATTGGTACATATTGCCAATAAGCAAAGAAGGATACAGTGAATGAATGTGGATGGTCTGCCTGGCGAGAGAGCAACTACCAGAGGGGAGGTCCTGAGACCCCTCATGCAGCCACAGTCTGAGAGTCCGGCTGCATTTCCACCTTGAGAGCACAGCTCCGAGGCATGTGAGCCTCCTTCCTCACCTTCTGAAACCAATGGCCATCACAGCAGAAGCTGGAGGGGTGCACGGTACATGAATGATGATTTCATGTGTCTCCCAGAAGCAACACTGAGTCACTGTGTCGTGTCCCCACTCTCCCAGGTGTGCAGTGAGCCCCTGCAACAGTAGCTGTGGAGTTCCAGGACATGCTTACACCATCCTACACCAGTCCTACACCATCCATCCTAGCAGCACTAGGAAAGGCAGAGTAGAAGCAGCAGATATGGGGGTGACAAGATATGACCAAATCAATGGAGCTGTCAGCAGATTAATGTAACACTGCATTTTTTTTCCAGGCTTAAAGAATGTGTTACTAACAATACCAGCAAAAACGTGGTATCAGTGTGGTAAATCTTAGCAGTGTGAAAACAGAAGATGCGGAGATGCTGATGTGGTCACACGTTCCTTGGACAGTCAAGCTTATCAAACATCATGGTGAGTCTCCAAAGGACATGCGAGTGGGTGTCCTTTCCTAGGCACGCTTCAGCTTAACCTCTCCATGTGTCCAGGCTGCTGCTTGAACAAACCAGAATGTCACGGACTTGTTATCAGAGTTCCTACAAACGTGTGATGTAAGTAAACACTGACAGCAGCAGCAGTTATCAATCGCTCGTAGGTGTAAGGATTGAAAGACTGGCAGGACTGTCACACGGTTCAGTGTTAGAAGAGCTGTCAGTGCATACACAGCACACCAATGTGCTAAGACATAAACCACATAAAGACCTCCTTGAGGAAAAATACAGTTTTAGGTGATTCCGAACTTGTTCATGAACACATTATCCTAAATCTGCACTGTGTGTTGTGAGAGCAGCTGGAGTCCCAGGGCGAGGCACAGGAAGGCCAGAATGTATCAGCATTGATTGTGGGTTCATCTCCCACTTGATGCCAGTCACAAAGCATTTCCAGTTTCCCTGGCCAAGCAGGAGGAGGAGTGGAAGCGTGGCCCCTCCCCACTGCAGTTTCCTGCACTATCCTCGTTTCCCCACCCACCCTAGAAATAGAAAGGGGCAACCTGAGTGAGGAGGGTGTCACTCCTGGAGCATTCCAGCAATGGAAATTCACAAGCAACCCAATCACAGCCCACAATCAGTACACAACAACCCCAGGGGAGGGACACTGAAGTGTTCTCTGCTTACCCAAAGTACAGAGTAGAAACTGCTCTGCAGCCAGCTGGTGCCTGAAAGTCCTGTATCCCAGGAACCTGGCCCTGGAGCCTGCCCCTACCTGCAGAACTCAGTCCCTGCGACCCTCAAGCAAAGTGGGAGAGAGGGACGAGGAGAGTCCTAGGGGTGGAGACTGTTGGAGTGGACTCCTGGTGTCCCCTACATCCTCCCCAGAGTGAGATCATCTGAGAGCGAGCCTGGGAGGATGGGTTAGAGTAAAAGCTAAGCTGGATCTAAGACAAATCAGAAACCTGAATACTTGTCTGTGAACTTGTCCCAGAGCCTCAAAGAATAGCTGATTTTCAATATGTGCGTCCTGTGTATGATTCCACCCTGTCAGATATATTTTCCTTAAATATCTATATATGTAGATATGTAAATATAAAATATACATACGTATATATTTATGGGTGTGTATGTTATCTTCCCATACGTGTGTATTTATGATGAAAGGGAAGGTGAGGTAAACAGCAAATTATGACAATATTTCTCCCCCAAAATTGGTTTGAATGGTGCTTTCAATAACTTTTAATTTTATAATTTACAAAGGAAATTGAACACAGTTTAGAACTTCCTTTTGCTCCCCACCAACTTCCCATTTGTTAACAATTCACATTAGAATGGTGTATTTACCACAAAAAAGAGGCAGTGGTAGTCCTTTTTGGTAACTACACTTGTGCCAGGAGTGTTTGGCCTCATGTCTTCTGACTCCCCCAGGAGCTACATCTCTTTTCCTCACTATGTCTCCTTTCTGTCCTCTGGGCTATGACAATTTCTCAGATGTTCTCTGTTCTGTTTTGCTCTGATACGCATAATTTTGAAGAAGACAGAAAAGGAATTTCACAGATAATCCCTTGTTTTCTGCTTTTCTGATTTTTTCTCACGGTTAGATTGCAGTTATGATTCCACTTGGGTGACAGAGGATCAGAGAGGTGAAGTGTCCTTCAAATCATGTCACATCAGTGGTAGGTGCTACTGAGACAGAAGCAGTACTCACTCCATCAAGCCTCTCCTGACCCGACATCTCCTGACCCAACTATGTGTCTGTCTCCAGCTCCACACCAAGAACGTCAAGACTCTAACTACAAAAGATCCCCTCCTGCCCTGCGGGGACCTCCCTAACATGCACACATGCCCATGTGTGATGGATATGTGACCTTTCTAGGTAGCAGTAGTGAGCCACACCACCATTCTCAGAGTGTCATCTGCATAAAACCTACAGCACCTGCACAGGACACAGAGCTGGGTGCAAACCCAAGTGTCCTGTGCCACGGAGATGAGCCAGAACTCCAGGTTGGTAAAAGTACCTGCGTAGGTCCCACTGGGGAGCCTCAGCAGAACCTTTTCCAACCGTGCTGTCCTCCTTGTGCAGAAGCATAAACTCTGTCCAATAAACCCTGTCTGGGTTTCATGGCATTTTGTCAATGTATTTTTGCAAGTGAGCCAAATTACCTGTGGTTCACACTACTGTCAACCTGGCGCATCACTGATGGTGACAACCTTGATCACTGGACTGAGGCACTATTTGCTGGCTTCTCCACTGAACAGTTGTATTTTCATATTTTACTTTTTGAAAGCAAGTCACTAACTGAAACCCATGTGTCTGTCTTTAATTTTAATGATTCATTTGTATTTCTCAAATATTTGACAATCACTGTGATACATATTGGTAAGGCAGTTCTCTCTATAAATAATAAAAAGTCCTCTCATTGGTCAAGACTTCATCACACGATCCCTCCATGGTTCTTTTTCACGAGACCAGATGTAGGGACACCCAGCTTAATTTATCTGGAATATTTGGGCTGAGGCTGACACCATTCATGTTGTAATTATCACTGATATTTCAGCATTTAATTGGGCCACACTCCGGTGGTTAATCCAATGTACCTTCACTTTTGACTTCTGTCTCAACTCAGAATGAGAGGGGAAAACCCATGGAAATATTTAAAGTTGATATTCTAAAGTTTAAAAGCAAATTTTAAAAGATTTTCTTATGAGTTCAAAAAATTTTAAGGAAATGAAAGTCAACCAAACATGAAAATACATTTTCTGGTCTTTATAAGAAAAATATAAAATAGACTGCTAGTGAATAAAAGAGAATGAAGAAAGAGAAAGACAGAAGGAGTTTAATGTATTGGGGTAGGAAGAGAAAGAGGATAGAAGAACAGGAAAAATACATATTCATGAGGGATAGTTTTTAAAGCATACATGGAGAGACAAATTAAGATGGTGGCAGAAATTACTTTTGTCATCATGAGTGAATTATCTTTCACTAAAGAGGAGACTAAAGATTAATCTTTTTTCATCTAAAATTTTATTAAGTTCATGCTTTTAAAAGACTACCTTCTCCATTCTTCCCAGACATCTTTTTTTAAAGTTTTTTTTTAATTTATGTCCCTTTTATTTGAAAATCAGAGACAGAAAGATATACAGAGATCTTCCATCTCCTGGTTCAGTCTCCAAATGCCCCCCAAGGGCTAGGGCTGGGCCGAGCCAAAAGCAGGAGCCAGGAACTCAGTTGTCCTGTGTGGACAACAGGTAATCAAGTACTTGAACCATCATCTACTGCCTTCCCAGGATGCACATTATCAGGAAGTTGGATCAGAAGCAAAGGCAGGGCCGGCACCGCGGCTCACTAGGCTAATCCTCCTCCTTGTGGCGCCGGCACACCGGGTTCTAGTCCCGGCCGGGGTGCCGGACTCTGTCCCAGTTGCCCCTCTTCCAGGCCAGCTCTCTGCTGTGGCCAGGGAAGTGCAGTGGAGGATGGCCCAAGTGCTTGGGCCCTGCACCCCATGGGAGACCAGGAGAAGCACCTGGTTCCTGGCTTTGGATCAGCGCGATGCGCAGGCCACAGCACGCCAGCCGCAGCGGCCATTGGAGGGTGAACCAACGGCAAAGGAAGACCTTTCTCTCTGTCTCTCTCTCTCTCACTGTCCACTCTGCCTGTCAAAAAGAAAAAAAAAAGAAACAAAGGCAGAACTTAAGATACTTGAATATGGGATGCAGGTGTCCCAAGTGGCATCTCAACCATTGGTTCACACACCTGCCTCTGCCCATACATCTTGAAAGGTTGTACAAAGTCACTGCCACCTCATTCCTGAGCCCACTGTCATATGGCTGCTGTCCCACTTTTCCATAGAACATATTCCTAATAACCATCAAGTTGTAATAAAACTGTGGTACAGCTCAAACCTGGTTCTCCTCCTATTTCTATCATCATCACCCATCTATCTTTCCAAGAGTGACTTTTACCCACATTCTATCTTGGTGATCTCTGATGTCCGTGATTCATCCACCCCTGTTCTCACTCAACTCATTGGACAGATTCTTTAAACCTCAAAAATAAGCTATTGATAAGTCTAAAATATTTGGTAGCACTTAAAGAGGATGAACCCAACTTATCTGCCTCCATTCTATATATCTTCCTGGACTTTAAGTCCTCTCTGCCATCCACCAGTGGTTCATGCTTCCCTGAGTTTTCTACTGATTTGTGTGACTCCTTATGTGTGTTGGGCACCCGAAAGTCACTTCTAACTTATTGGGACTAGAAGCCAGGTAGTTATTTAGTTAGAGGAATACATGACAATGAGGGATGAGAAGGCAGGACAAAGGGAAATGGTGGTGGTTTTCAGATGAGAATGAAGAAGAGAGAGGAAACATGGATGAAATGAAAACACTGTCAGGAGGGAGGGAGTCCATGGCTAGGAAAGAAGTGAAGAGGGATACTTGATACTTGGGGTTATGCAAATATACTCCAGGCATAACAGGAGCCCATATAGAAGGAGACTGACCAAAGACATCATTACAAGAACTAGGTGAAGACACACCACTGCCAAGGGCCTTTGATATCAGTAATGCATCTTTGCCACGGATCTTCCTTGAAGTCTATTACAGAACTTTCGTCCTTGACAGCAAAAACTTGAAACTTTCAAGTCTCCTTTAATCAGCTTCCAAGCTCGGCATGGAGTAGCACAATCCATTTGAGTGTGGTTGTAGCTAAACCCATCTGGAAAGGAAAAGCATTCATACTTAGTACCAGAGAATAATAATATGTGGGGCTCAACATGAGAGAATCTTCCCCATCCACACCAAGCCTGGTCCTCAGGGTGGAAACACCCGCTTTCTGGCACAGTCTTCCTTGAATTTCTGCTTAACAGTATTACCTCTTACATTAAAAACATAGATATCCCTGGTTCTGCACCCACGGCCTTGTTCCACAGTACAGTTGCCTTGGCCTTCATAACATGTGTTTCCCACAAAAATACTGCAGACCATACACAATGTGGCTTGACCTGGGGAAAGAGACGTGAAAGCTGAGATAAGTAGGCTGGAACCAGTAGACCAGGACACCATTACAGTCCAGGAGTTCAAAGAAAAACATGACCCTAAATATTGACACATGTGATTTAGAGCTGTTAATAGTCCCAATGTATTGTTTCCATTAGAACCTTAGGGATATGGGGTCTTTCATATCTGTATCTCAAGTTCCATTAAGAATAAATCAATTGGTACAGCTTTAAATGAGTAACTATTGTATGTAAATTATATTTCATAGAAGCCTTTTTTTTAAAGTGAAACTTTGGAAAAGAATCTGAGGTGCTACTTGCAAAGTGATACTGGAAATACTGGGAGCTGAAATATAAGGAAAAAATGTAAGGTTTTCATGGGGGAGGTCCAAGTTCAGATCTTGCACATGAACAACACTGAGAGACAGTGCTTCTTTAAAACTTGTCCACTAGGATCTGATTAAACCCCTCCAGTAACAGCTATGTGCTAACAGGCCCTTAAAATTAAGAAGAGGGTCAGAAAGTGAAATATACACCCTTAACCCACTTCTGTCATGAAAAACAAAGCCAGAGTATCTATGTACAGCCAACCTGAGGCCAGGACCCTGGAGAAATGAAAAGACATAAGGAATGTGCAGCCTTGAAGGTCGGGAGGCATATTTTAGTGTCCACAGTTTTCCCAACACAACACTAAAACTCACTTATGTGTGTGTGTATGTGTGTGTGTGTAGAGAGAGAGAAACAGTGTTGTTCAAGATAAATCCATCAGTGACATATTCCTGGAAGATCACAACCCTGAGGACCCTCGAGCCATCATTGGCTCTGCCACTCAAAATTGCCCAGATAGACTCCAACGCCAAACCTGAAGAGAGCATCATGGTCCTAATTTTTCCAAGGAAGAGACTGACCTCACTCTGAGACCTTGAAAAGAGACCCAAACTTTTGCCCTGGTAGGAGTCAGGATGGAAAAACAGAAAGAGATCTCAAATTCTTGACCTTGACCCTCTTCTCTCCCCCACACACCAACCATGCAACCTGGTCAGGTGGTTATTCTGTCTGCTCTCTGGATACCCCCACACCCTCTCCCCATCCCCTGTCCCAGCCAAGCAGGGCCTCATGCATACCTTGGACAAGCACAAGAAGCAAAAACCCCAGCAGGAGGAGCATGAGCAGGAACTTGCCCATCTTGGCCGGGACAGAGGATGATGCAGCACGGTGTCAGGTGCCAGGCAGCCCTGTGCCCAGGAAAGGTGGGAACACACCGCTCTGTGTGCAGATGAGGGCAGGCTGGAGAACCTGGACTTAGCCACTCCCAGGCTGTGGGCAGAAACTTCCTTTACATACTTGCCAGTGATATTTCACCACAACCATGGTTCCGGAAAGCTTCCCACACAGGCAGCCTCTTTGGAGCTGATGGACAGAGCAGGCATCCGTTCATACCGCCAATATAAAAGAAAGTGATGGGGGGATGTTCTGCCTGGCGAGAGAGCAACTACCAGAGGGGAGGTCCTGAGACCCCACATGCAGCCACAGTCTGAGAGTCCGGCTGCATTTCCACCTTGAGAGCACAGCTCCGATGCATGTGAGCCTCCTTCCTCACCTTCTGAACCAATGGCCATCACAGCAGAAGCTGGAGGGGTGCACGGTACATGAATGATGATTTCATGTGTCTCCCAGAAGCAACACTGAGTCACTGTGTCGTGTTCCCACTCTCCCAGGTGTGCAGTGAGCCCCTGCAACAGTAGCTGTGGAGTTCCAGGACATGCTTACACCATCCTACACCAGTCCTACACCATCCATCCTAGCAGCACTAGGAAAGGCAGAGTAGAAGCAGCAGATATGGGGGTGACAAGATATGACCAAATCAATGGAGCTGTCAGCAGATTAATGTAACACTGCATTTTTTTTCCAGGCTTAAAGAATGTGTTACTAACAATACCAGCAAAAACGTGGTATCAGTGTGGTAAATCTTAGCAGTGTGAAAACAGAAGATGCGGAGATGCTGATGTGGTCACACGTTCCTTGGACAGTCAAGCTTATCAAACATCATGGTGAGTCTCCAAAGGACATGCGAGTGGGTGTCCTTTCCTAGGCACGCTTCAGCTTAACCTCTCCATGTGTCCAGGCTGCTGCTTGAACAAACCAGAATGTCACGGACTTGTTATCAGAGTTCCTACAAACGTGTGATGTAAGTAAACACTGACAGCAGCAGCAGTTATTAATCGCTCGTAGGTGTAGGGATTGGAAGACTGGCAGGACTGTCACACGGTTCAGTGTCAGAAGAGCTATCAGTGCATACACAGCACACCAGTGTGCTAAGACATAAACCACATAAAGACCTCCATGAGTGGAAATACAATTTTAGGAGCCAGCACTGTGGCTCACTAGGTTAATCCTCTGCCTGTGGCGCCGGCATCCCTATGGACACCGGGTTCTAGTCCTGGTTGCTCCTCTTCCAGTCCAGCTCTTTGCTGTGGCCCGGGAGTGCAGTGGAGGATGGCCCTGCACCCGCATGGGAGACCAGGAGGAAGCACCTGGCTCCTGGCTTTGGATCAGCATAGTTCCAGCTGTAGCGGCCATTTGGGGGGTGAACCAATGGAAGGAGGACCTTTCTCTCTCTCTCTCTCACTGCCTCTGTCAAAAAAAAAAAAAAAGAAAATACAATTTTAGGTGATTCCAAACCTGTTCGTGAACACAACTATACCTGGTGTTATCTTACATCTGCACTGTGTGTTACAAGAGTAACTGGAGTCCCAGGGCGAGGCACAAGAAGGCCAGAATATATCAGCCCTGACTAGGTTCATGTCCCAGTTGATGCCAGTCACAAAGCATTTCCAGTTATCCTGGCCAAGCAGGAGGCAGAATCATGATATGTGTCTTTTTGGGACTGGCTTATTTCACTAAGTCTAATGGTTTTGAGTTGCATCCATTTTGTTGCAGAAGACAGGATTTCATTTATTATCATCACTGAGTAGTACTCCATAGTGTATATATACCATAATTTCTTCATCCAGACATCAGTTGATGGACATTAGGTTGAATCCATATCTTAGCTATTGTGAATTGAGCTGCAAAAACATGGGGGTACTGATAACTCTTTCATATGCTGATTTCATTTTGTTTGGGTAAATTCCCAGGAGTGAGATTGCAGGGCCATATGGTAGATCTATACTGAGATTTCTGAGGTATCTCCATACGGTTTTCCACAGTGGCTGCACCAGTTTACATTCCCACCAGCAGTGAATTAGGGTCCATTTTCCCCCACATCCTCACCAGCATTTGTTGTTTGTTGATTTCAGTATGAGAGCCATTCTAACTGGCATGAGGTGAAACATTGTTGTGGTTTTATTTGCAGTTCTCTGATGACTAGTGATCCTGAGTATCTTTTCGTGCGTCTGCTGACCATTTGAGTTCCCTCTTTTGAAAAATGCCTGTTCAAGGCCTTTACCCATCTCTTAACTGGATTGTTCATTTTGTTGTTGTTGAGTTTGTTGAGCTCTTTATAGATTCTGGACATTATACTTTATCAATTGAGTAGTTTGCAAATACTTTTTCCCATTCTGTTCGTTACCCCTCGCTTTGCTAACTGTTTCTTTTGCAGTACAGAGGCTTTTTTGAGTAGATAACCCCTCTGTCAGTTTTGGCTTTGATTGCCTGTGCTTCTGGAGTCTTTACCAAGAAGTCTTTGTCTATGCCAATGTCTTGCAGATGGTTTTGTCTACAGAGAGATGTTCCCAGAGCCAGCTGCCTGTGGGTGCTCTGTATTGGCAGTTTGAGCCAAGGAGCCTCTGGTATGTGGGGAGGCTGGGGGCACCTCACAGTCCTATGTGGATGCCTCGTCCCCTATCAATCCTCCCAGCCATACTCAGTCAATGGGGAGCACAGATTTTCCCCTGTACTAGAATCTCTGGATCACACACGTACACAAGAGCACTGGCTGAACATCGCCTTTTCCCGACCAGTTGCAGCAGAGCTGCTGCAGCCAGTGCTGCTGTAAAGGTGGCATCTGGTCTCAGCCAGCTGCTGCATGGGCACACAAGGGCTTCCACAGCTGCCACTTATGCCCAGAACGGGCCTGCCCTTTCTCAGCTGGGTGCCAGGCACCATTGTAGGGAGTTCAGGAAGGGAGTAATTTCCCTACTTTTTTTTTTTTACTGGTTCATTGGGTACCTTCTCCCTCTTAGGGCTTCAGGCTGGACTCACATCAAGCTCTCCCTCTGACTATATCACCAGTGGCCCGGGTTGCTGCAGTCTAATCATACCTCCGTCTCCAAGCTGGGGCTTTCTCCAGCTCTCGGATGCTGGGGTCATGCTGTGCATCCACACCTTCCACACAGTTCCACAGTGTTCCTCTTCCTTCTGTAGAGTTCCCACTGTGGTTTTCTCTCTAACTTTCCCTGAGACTTTCTTCCTACTTTTTTTTTTTTTCACTATTTACCTCTAGCCTAGAGCAATATGCTCTTCTGTATTCCACCATCTTGGAGATGTCATAATTTTCTTACAATAGCAAACCTTAAGTTTAAACACTGTGCGATGGGGTGCCAGTAGAAAATATCTGTAGTTGGGGCCAGCACTGTGGCACAGCAGGTTAAAGCCCTGGTCTGAAGCGCCAGCATCCCATATGAGCGTTGGTTCTAGTCCCGGCTGCTCCTCTTCCAGCTCTCTGCTGTGGCCTGGGAAAGCAGTGGAAGATGGCCCAAGTCGTTGGGTCCCTACACCCACATGGGAGACAAGGAAGAAGCTCCTGGCTCCTGGCTTCAGATGGGTGCAGCTCTGGCTGTTGCAGCCATCTGGGGAGTGAACCAGCGGATGGAAGACCTCTCTCTCTGTCTCTACCTCTCTCTGTAACTCTGTCTTTCAAATAAATAAAAATAAATCTTTCAAAAAAAAGAAAATGTCTATAGTTGTAGTAATATAAAATGGAAATGTTGTGTAGCTGAAATTGTTCCACCCGAACATCTAATGCCATGCACCAATCATTTCAGAGCTTCCTAAGTTAACTCTTTAGTAAAGTGACCATGAGCCCCTCCCAGCAGCATATACCATCCCAGACTTCTTGCCGGCCTTCCTTCATCCACCCTTTTCCATAAAGCTTCCTTAACCAGTTTCCATGAGGTATCCACATCAGCTTACGCAGGAGAGTAATGATAGTTTCAAATGACAGTGTTCTGATGAATGGCACACAGCCGCCAGTGAGATATTGGGGAGATTTGTGGCTACTCAGAAGCAGAGGAGAGGGGTGGGCATCTGACCTAGCCATCAAGCTGCTGGTTTAGAGACCCATACCCCACATCAGTGTACTAGATTCAATAGCAGCGCAGCGGATGGAAGTTCTCTTTGCTCTCTCTTCTCTCTCCTTAAAAGGCCCAGGAGGAATTTGAAGCTGGCTGGATGCCATTCATTAAGTTTATCTGCAATCCATAAACGTGTCCCTCCAGAATCCTAAATTTGGAAGAGACTAACAGTAAGTCCTAATTCGTGCCTCTATTTCAAACTAAGTTAGTAAGCTCTCTCCCAGTGGAGGAAACTGCTCCCTTAAAGCACCTCCAGACAGTGGGTGTTCAGAACTTACAGGCCTGCACCAGCCCCACCAGGTTTTCCAGGGATGCCTCTAGGCTGAGATTTAACTAGGGAAGTATGTCAGGGAATTATGAAGATGAAGAAGCTGCACTCTAAGCTGCCCTGCAAGAGGAAATCGCCAAACCACAAACCGCATCACCATAGCTACTGGACCTGGGAGGGCGACGTTTGGGCAGGGCTGACCTTTTAAAACTGTATATCAGTGGACCCTCAGACTCTGTAAGCAGAGGTTGCTCAGCCTTTCTCCCTGGTCCATAGCGCCTTGTGCCCGAGAGGACTCTCCTGGTCCGTAGTGCCTTGTGCTCACAGGAGTTTGGATGAGTAGTCTCTCCCTCTAGATGCCATAATAAAAAGCTTTAAGGTGTGTACCTGAGTCTTCTCAGTCTCCTTTGTTGAACCCTTTGTTGGCTTCCTGGCCAGTTGCTAACGATCGGGAAGCCAACAGAAGTGCTCTTGCAAGCCTGGTTATGGCATTTGTTAGCAATGAGGCCCCCATAATAAGTTATTTAAGTTCAATTCCTCTGTTGTCTCACCAAGGAAATAGAGAAAATAGTAGCACTTAAATCTCAAGGTTCTTGTCAGAAAAACCTTAAAGTGTACATAAG